GATTGAGCGGGTTTTGATCTGCTTTTAGGTGGACACAATTCAAATATTCTGGTATTTGCAGTATGCAGTAAAAACAAGTTGCCGACCATTCAAGCTAGTTTCATCCAATCTGAAATTCAAACCACGCATTACCCCATTGCACACGACCCGGCGGTAAATGTCAATCCTACTGTAGAAAAGTTGGTTTGACGGGGACTGTATGGTTGACACCAGACGTAGATTGTGTGCTTTGTGAGGTAAAATAAACTAAGAAGGACTGGAAAGGTGCTCAGAAGAAGATCGTACAGGGAGAGATGGACTGGTTACACGAACATGCAAATAGGTTCTAAGGCAACTGAGATTTCGCGAAGACAATGTGTAGTTGGTCCCGACTACCATTCCGTAATTGTAACCCGTTTGATACAGTCTCAGAGAGAATAATTTAGAGTAGAATCATACATAACAAATTTCTTCAGCAATTCGGCGTTTAAATTAATGACTTTTGATTTGTCAATTAGCGCATAAAGACCCTGATAGAGTCCAAAATGGAGACCATTGAAAAAGGAATCACCTTGACCAAGTCACACGGATGATCTCTATTTAAACAGCGCTCGCTACAGAGTTCAAATGGGCACATGGCCAGAGCCTTATATATCTCACAATTCTTTGTGCCTCGAATCAAATCGGAAGTGACTGCTATTTTCTGGGTAGAAAACATTTTACCTTACAACCTAGTGGTTTGATGTTGCACACCGAAATGACACTTAATTGAAACTGTAGACAGACGATAGGAAGAGAAGGTGCACAAAAGTCTGATTTGGAATGATAGCTTTGATGCGCTTCAAAAATTGTCATCTCAAAATACATGTTCCCGATGTGGTGATGCTGTAAAGGGCTCCCAGCGCAGAGCTACTTGAAACGAGCGACCATGACATCGGTTCAAAATTTCAGACGAAAGTGCAACCCACCACCTTTGCGAACCAATGGTTGGTAGTGGCTCATGTGCCTTTGGTCTTTCTTAGAACTACACAGGCAACGATAGCACGGAACACAGTGTACAGACATGAGTCGTCCGGCAGCTGATTTAATAATGTCTTTGAGATATAGCACATTGATTTCACTTCGCTTGGATACAGACATTTCAAGTGCACAATATACGAGAGACTGTTATGGAAACACTCATCGTTTGAAGAAACTCCTAATTACATGGTTTAATGTTCCTTAATAAATGGTCTTCAACCCCTGAGAGACTATAGATGTACTCTGACTCAAGGTAGATATCCAGCAATTGATGTCTCCATTGTGCGAAAACGCATCGCTATGAGCTATTCCAAATGGCATTGATGTGAGTCGAGGTATTTCTGAAGAAAAAAATATCTTTCAGTATTTTGATAACTAAGAGACACAGAAACCGGACAAGCCCTCTTATGCGAAAGAGTGCATTTATTGACACAGTAGCTCTAGTTTAATAATGCCAGATTGGATTGAATTCAGAGGTGTCAGGTCGGAATAATTTGGCCAAAGAAACACGAAAATTGGTTCATTTAACTTAACGGCTGCCGACGAAAATCAAAGGCAGGTGACTGATGCCTACGGAATGGTTCGGCTGAATTTTATTGAAAACCCTATAAAGCGGCTGTTCACATGACCCGTCAATAATTGTTGCTTTAGAAGGAGGAACTCTCTACAAAATGATCCAAACAAGCATTTCTAAACTAAAGTACATCCGAAGGCCAGTCTTCAAATCTTGAACGGGACAAATTGGTTGGTGCCTGAGTAGCGAACTTCCCACAGTTGTTGTTTCCAGAGTTTGAAACTCAAAACGCAAACGCTGAAACACAAGTTCGATAGGCACCGAGAAGGAATGGTGCTATGAGCAGGTTTCAACTTACGAACAAAGACTATTTTACACCTGATTTAATGCATAAAAACTCTCAATTTTCTACAGAGGGTCAGTAGATCCGAATTGTACTCGCCTCATATAGTTCCAATTAGCAGTAATGGTATATAAACTTTGGAACCACTTGAGAACAATAAGTTATGTTTCCCAACCAGTATAGATTTGGTTTTTTGTTTACTTTCTAGCAGTTAGTCGTAATCAGCATTTATGGACATTTCATTTGTAATGGAGACCGAACAACTCGAGAACCTTCCAATAACGTATACGTTAAGGAGATTTTTCTAAGGCCCCGAGTGATAACGCCACCCAACTTATTGTGGTCCTAATTAGTCGGTGATTGCAAGCTCAAGGGTTGAGCTGTCTGTCTTTTTAAAAACACCAGGAAGGGTTTCAACCAGTGGAATGTGACTCACTAATATGACCTTCAACCATATTTCTAAAGTACATTGTGCTTTTCGCGTTATAGTCAACTAGCCATATAAGTGGACAACGCTGATTTAGCCGAAAGTGCCTTCAAGATACGGGTTCATTTAGGATGACATTAAACAGAGTTCAAAATCAAGTTCATCCCATCAAAGTTGGAATTCACAGCTCTCTTCTCAGTGTTCGCTACCTGCTGTGCCTGGTGCGGTTTCATTCGTCAGAACTGCAAAATGTGGCAATGGAAAGTACGTTTCAGTTTGAAAAGATTTTGAAAAGTACGTTACACAGCACGAAGAAGCTATGGTGACCTGGCATATGCTAGCTGGTCTATTGCTCCCGGCAGTTTTGGGATCGCCATGATTCCAGCATTCTCGAAATATTTTGAGCATTTACAAAAGAAAAGCACCGATTCTCTGCCGTTACTAACCTGCAGATCGGACAAGAAAACAGAGCCATCTGAAGCTCAGGCAACTAAAGATCATGCGGTTCATCTGTTGGCATTCCGAATATTTGGATAAATCGAAATATTCTGTATATATGGTATTTTTTTAACTGGGAAATGCAGCTCACATGTCTAGTTCACCATCATAAGGGATACGCCAGCAGACAGGAAAATCTGTTATCCTATGGATATCGCTGCTGTGTCCTTCTTCAGATCCGTCTAGTGGTTGCGTCCCATCCCCAACCTATTACGATTAGTCAAATAATAAGAGTGAAGTGCAAACTAACAGTGACGGAAAAGAAAATGAGCTTTCGTGATTAATTTCAATTCGTATATGCAACTTAACTCTAATAAACTACTTTGTGGTACAGTCCGGAAGTTCATCACAGCAAATTACAGACACTGTAATTCAGTCTGCCTTTGATAACCTCGGCTTCATTCGCCACGCTCCCGTCGGATGAAGAAGCACTTTCTTGAGGTATGCTGTTCATTGTTTATATATTTATCTAGTATTTTTAAATAGTTTACACCCTAACACGTGCTGTGAGATTTTTTTTGTTAAGGTTTGTTTCTTGTTCATCTCTTTGCTTGAGCAAAATGGAGGGATTTCAAAACGGTTATCTTCAATTAGGCGGTGTCATTTCACAATCGACAGTGGAAATATTTCTGACAAGTTGAATGTAATCGATCACAAAACGCTTGTAATGGCTCTTAAATAGTTTTCCTGATTAGAATAAAAAATTTACGGACTAAAATAGGTTTAAAACGATGTAGTCCAAATAACAATAGATATGACGGGCAACCTGATGAACCAGCTGAAAGGAATCTGGAGAAAAATAGGCTCTTTTTTTACCTCATTAGGTCAAAAAACCCACTGATGAAACTTGTTTGTGAAGGTTGTTTGAAGAAAAATCACATTTGAAAACAACCATCCAAACTTGAGACACGCTTGGTATTCGGAGTGAGGTTTATGTAGTGTAAGCAATACAACCTTGGCTGCATATCTATTACCAGTTGTCTCTAATTTCCTATCCAAGCCGAAAAATACAGGGCCAAATGAGTTGCTCCTCTAACTCACTGAGTTTGAACTAGCATGACATAAGATGTGTACCCAGATCTAAGGAGATTATGATAACCGTGCTGCCACACTCATTAGTTCGGTACCCTTGAAGATACCGTCAATGGGCTAGTTGCTGTGATTTGCCTACGGGCTGTGATACGTCGTGCTTATGTTGGCCAATAAATAAATTGTGTCCATTCCGGTTCATCAGTAGCCGAGAAACGTCCTCAAGAAACAGAGTCGAGATATTTTTAGGTGCGTTTCGAAATTAAGCGACGAGTATGTTTTTTAGGCTGCACACAGTTCACCGCAGACTGTAAGTTGGGGGCACCAAATGAACCGTGTTGCATCGAAACAAACATCTGATGTCTGATTACTTCCTAGAGGTTCTACTTATTACCTTTTCTGATAGGTTACTATTGTTGGCCTACGAAAGCTCACCCAAAGATAGATCGTTTGGTCTGTTTCTTCAAATATTTTTCTTTGGAGGAGGGAGCCCTGTTATTCGCTATTCCGGCTTCCAGAAGCAGTCATTCGGCATGCAGGATTCTAAGATGTGTGGATGATGCGTATTCGGCAGGTGCACTCAAGTTGGGATACAACTAATTTTGATCTTACTGAAAGCTGACAGTAGACTTAGTAAAACTCTACATCTAAATTTAATGCAGATGTCTGAATACTCATTAGACGGTCATCCGGAAAAACTCAGTGGACTGTGAAGTTAGATAACCGGATGAAAGAAACTAGACGATATATTCTGTTTCTCAATGCTCTGCAGTTTTTGGCATGGTTTTGTTTTTCACACACTTTGAAGGTTTTGGCTCTTTACCAGCGCATGGACATCCCATTTGTGTGCCTTCTTTGTGAAAATGCCGGGTCTTAACAAGCTCGTTAATTTCTTTCTAGACACGGGTAAACGGTTCGTAAACAGTCAGAAAAGTGGAAAGTTTAAAGCAGGAGGCAAATTAGTTGACAAGAATCTTGCATGAGATACCATGACATCAATGGGCATGCTTAAGAAGCTCTGCCACAGCGCATTAGGATTGTGCTGTAGGCTGAATTACACAGTTCATTCAGTGAGGATGAACTCACACAAACACGCCAAGTAATGCGGAAAAGGAAAACGGCCACTGTTCCAGGTAACTCCAAAATCACACTAACAAAAACTTGAAAAATACATGAACCGTGGAACTCACTAGCTTTCCGAAGCTCTTCGATAAACTCAGATAATCGAAATCAATTCCTTTTAACTTTTCACTGGGATCTAGGAAAAGAAAGCCCTCGGCTACAGTGCGTTAGATATGGTCTCGTGAACTAACCTGATAAAACCGCTATACCGAACATTTCACGCTCATTTAATTCCAGTATGTCACAGATTTCGTGGTGGATTTCTTCGACAGTTGTGGTTTTATCATAGGTCAAAATAACCGATTCGTTTGTCAGTAGGACGACTTTGAGTTTCCAAGAGACCTTGCCAGAAACTGGCATTATCCATATAGGAACTTCTCATCCTGCAAAAGCATAAGAAAGATGGTAATATGACTAGGAATTTTGAATGAGGATATGTTACGCCCATCGATCCTATCGCTGTAATCCATTCAAGGACGTTTACGGTGGGTGGGGACAATACTTCAGTGAATTTGTTTTCATTTAAAGTCTCTATACGTTGCCAGAGTGAATTGCCAAAAATACGGTATAGAAACAAGCATTTAAATCGGTCCAATGCTTGCCGGTATTTTTGTATGTCATTGAGGCGGTTAAATTAGGGTTGAAGTTATTCGCGAATCTAACACAACAAAGCTATCCTTAGGTTCCTTAAATCCGCTCATACTTTAGTCAGCTTCAATGGAAATAGGCAGATTGACAGTAAGTTCAAAATTCTCAATGGTGAATTGGGATGAAGACAATGTAAGCCCCTCAAGAGAAGTACATACTATATACGTCGTGTCAACAAAATAAATTCCACAGCCTTCTAGACACGAAGTAGAAACCTCTGGCCAGTAGTCTTGTAAAATCTTTACTAATGAGAGTCCGGATGCAGCATTTTGTCAACAAAACTCTGAAACAAGACTATATCGAGCATGGTTTACGAAAAGCTCGGTAAAAAATCGGTAGTTTTTTACTGGTCAGATTTTCGCACTTGACATAAAAGCTTTATCAGGCCTGGTAAGCAGCTCGATCAGTTGATCGAAAACTATACCGAGCAGTTTGTAAAGCAACGTACTTCGAGATAAAGATGAAGCCCGGATTTATGAGGACCAGATTAAACACACCCGACTTTTCAAAGCGCCATGGCGCCAAAATCTTTGGTCAGCATTCCGACCACATCCTTGAAACCCTAGCTAAATGCGGTGCAGTGATTCGCTGCTCAGTGCAAAGTCAAAGATCCAATATTTGTTCGTGATAATTGGTTGTTATCCATACACTCGCCTGCCAATTTTGGCAGACTTTGGGGCTTACATGGTAAGGTGCCCACCTGAGAGAAATAGCAACCGTAACCAAAGAGCAAATTGATTATTGCTCTCCAGGAGTTTCGGCGACACAAGATGAATAGGAAAACCGGAAAGTTCAGGTATTTTTGCCCGCACAAAGTCCAATAAGCGGATAAAAGACGTTTATTGGTAACTTGCGAAACATGGGAGAGGTTGTTCTAGACCACTCAAAAATTTTACCTGTTGCTTTACTAAGTTCAAGGCATCTCCGGTTTGCAACGAGATGCCTTTGGAAGCATAACGAGCGTATTGGTCTCCCATTGATTTTCAAAGAAACAAATCACCATGCAAGTAAACTGTACCGTGCTGCGCAAATTTATGGGTGAGCTAACACATTGAAGGTTAAAGATATAAACGTAAGTGATAGGTCAATCCTGAGAGCCTTTGTTGAAGATACTACACTTGACATGGTTAGTAGCTTGAACCTGTAAAATATCATTCTTTTTGGAACTTAACAGTCGCAACGCTGACTGAAAAAATAGCATATGAGATGGAACAATCACGACAAATCAGCGTTAATAGTTTAACTTTTGAGAACACACGGAAATTCCGGGCCAAAATAGGTTCGGGTATTGTCAGAAAGATTCGGCACTGTGTTGTCTTGATTTTGCAAGTTCCCATGTTTTCATAGCTACTTTGGAATTTGTCCACGCGATAAACGATCCTATGTGACGTTCAAGTTTTGCTAGGTTGGAAACGGCAGTTAAGAGTGAAATGGATAAAGAAGATGACGACCATTATACAGTTCCACCAGGTCGAGCTGGTATGCGCAAGACACTGACATGCAATAATAATTATTATTTGGAATAATTATGGTCGTTTGGTATCAACTGAAATATATTAACCATGCTCCTTATATCGATTTTTGCTGACATCCTCAAGGGATAGGAACAACTGGCGCCAGGAACCAAACTTTGCAATGCTAAATAACTAACTGTGCGTGAGCTTCCCAGTTATATTTTCAGGGAAGATTTGTGTAACGTAGTGAGGATGAAAACACCGTGTGTCGCTAGTGTGAGATTCTTTTGGATATTAGCAGCCCTCGACCTTGGTATCATCGTCAACTGTGGACAAAAAACGCACATATATACACTAGCAGCCTGCATGAAGTTTTAAGACAACCGCCAAGTTTGGCACGACTTTTGATACAAAACTCAACTGCTGTAACATCCGTCAGAGAGACAACTTTCCAAAAATAATGAAACGCATTCAGAAACTATGTGGCGATATGGCATCCGCAATAGTCTTTGACATGTCCCAGCTGGCCACAAATCTATTTATAGTCAAACACAGTTTCAGCAGACGAGACTGTATCTCCCCAAAAAAGAGTAAAATATAAAAGGGCAACTAAGGCAATTTGGATCTTAACTCGACGTATTTCAAACAGACACGAGAACATGAATGAGCCAAGTGAATTACGAGAGATATCCTACCTCTGGCATGCAAAGAGTCAATTTGCACAGAGCATTTTTGCTATCTCTAGACCGTCTCTAGTTCCCAACTTTACATCTGTTCTCTGACCCCGACGCCTTCTCTCACCTTGACAGGGGGAATTAGTCTCCATTTGGAATGCGACTTGGAATTTTCAGGCATTCAGTTAGTATTTCTCGAGCCTAAAATGACGCACGAATTCCGTCCGAATGATGTCTGGTGGGTGGTAGATTAAATAACCACACTTTTGCTGATAAAGACAGGGTCCAGCAAGAACAGAGTGGTGAAGCAGCTTTAGTTAAATGAGAGTCCATTGCATGTAGACGGAAGCAATGAACGGTTTGATAGGAGTTTTTTGTTCGAAAACGTGCCCGCAAGGCAATGGGCCACTAGGAAATGGAGGAAGCTATTACCATTAGTTGTGAGCGTTTCATAGATGTGACTCAGAAAGTTACCATAATCACTATCGTTTGAACAGTCGTCCTCCTGTCCTTAATTATTCCGGTGAGTCCACACCAAAGGGAAGCATTGGATTTTAGTTTCGCTCGGGCACACCGATCACATCGCTCAAGTGTGTTCAGACGTGAAAATTCAGATGCGTCCAATGTACCTTGGTGGAGTAGTGATTACACGCTCGCCTCGCATGTCAGATGTCCGGGGTTCGAATTCCGCCCACTGGATATGAACTGCCGATGAGCTCTAGTAAGAGCGAAACTTTAGTGTGGACTCACCGAAATAATTACGCCAGAACAGAAGGACGACCGTACAAACGAGAGCCATGTGACTATGAACAAAATACCTATCCCGCAAAACCCCAAAACTGTTACCATAATCCCAGAATAATTGATTGCCGCTCCTATTGTACGGCGACGTACGCTTGTCGTTATGCATTTGTCACTGTAAACAGACCGGCTGTGGAACAATGTGCTTCAGTTGAACCTCAAAATGGTAGATTAGTTGGGAGCTCAGTGCTCTGCGAGCTCTGGATGTCTGTCTCTTTGCATAAGCAAATGTAATTCTGAGTCCAGAATTTCACGGATCATCAAAAGTTCGGCCAATACTGTAAAGTTCAGTGGCGTTTGTTTATACCGGTGCAGTAGTTCTGCAGGTTGACTGCGCAACTCATGATGTTTGTTTAACATCAGACTGGAAGATGGTAAATGGGATACTTTTTCTCGAGGCGGGTGTGTCAGCTTGTAAGTTGTCCACCCTCCCACAATGGTGGTGCACTCGAGATGACTTAAGGCAGAACATAAGGGATTTCGTACCATATGGTACGCCCTTTTGGTTGTTGCCATAAATGGTAGCTGACTGTCTGGTGATATTTCTATGGCGATTTGTTTAATCACGATCAAAATCACTTCCACCAGGGGCACTGACGTGGGTCTCCTGCATCCGGAAAACCCTTTTCCTGCGACTCAGATTCTGTATAGGCCTCGTTGGAAAGTCGGGGACTGTGGCTCACCAGGGTGGATGGTATGGCAGTACCAATAACGACAGAAACATCAGTCACTGTGAAATGGTCAGGCCTATGTGACCGCCGAAACCGCTAGCAACCTGATGAATACTTTCAAATGGAACACTTGAGAGCACAGTTTACGTCGAATAATTTATTTGTGGTGTACAAATATTTGTTCACACCACACCACACTCCCATACGCGAAGCTCAGCGCCACATTTTACATGTCCATACAAAACTCAGAGTTAAAGGCAGAGTTAAAGGCAGTGAAGTCAGACAAACGTTCCTAGACATTCATTGGTGGCTCGAGATCGGTCGCAATGTGGAACCTCTAGAGGAATAGGTTCAAAGACTAGAGCGATCACACACGGTGAGAATGGTAAGGTAGAAAGGGCGTAATTATCCTGAGAGATAAGGCAAGAGCGTGCATCTGCAGCGTAGGATCCAAGATCTTTGGAATCTGTGATTATCCAAATGCAATATGCTTTATGAAATTTGATGTAGGTGAAAAACTCTTTCATCTTCTTAAGAATGGAATACTCAAGGGCCGAAGTCCAAAAATCAGGACACAAAGTACCATCAATATTCACGAAAACAACACAGTAACCTCGCCGCATTGCTCGTGTAGTCTATGATGTCTGCCAGTTTAATTGTTTTATATGTAAATATGGGTGATGTATAACCTCGCTTGCTGGGCTTCGGCGCATGAGTTTTTCTTTCTGTCTTCCATTCACATAAATTATCGTGAACTTCTGACTTCGGAGAATCACTGTGCGCTGGTGCTTACATAGCGTGCGCATAACATTCGGAGTAAATTTTGTGTAACGCGCTGTGTACACACAGATCCCAAGGTCGAATACCTAGAGAGATGAGTTTATTAGTCCCAAGGGTGTCCAAAAACAAAGTACACTGGATGTTTACCTCTGATTTAGCTGTAGTTGAGGGGAAACAGTACAGCGATAATCGGTGAGTTTGACAGCTTCGTGTTGAGCAGCCTCAAAAAGACTGCTAATGACTGTCTACGATAGAACCGGCCTTCCCAGATAAGCTGTCTAAATTTTAAGAAGCAGGCTTCACACGATTGCTCACAATTCCCCATTCGAACG